CTTCACCTTAATGAAGCTCATGTCCCCATAAAGTCGCTCTGCCACGTCTGTAGGATGACCAGGGGCATTGTCTAACACCAGGAGGCACTTAAGTTCTAATTTCTTTTCAGTTAGGTAATCTTTCACATTGGGGGCAAATGCATGGTGTAACCAGTTATAGAAAAATTCCCTAGTGACCCATGCCTTACTGTTTGCCCTCCACAGCACACACAAATTATCCTTGAGGACATTCTTTTGCCTGAACGCTCTGGGAGTTTCAGAGTGATACACTAATAAAGGCTTCACTTTGCAATCACCAGTAGCATTGGCACACATGAGAAGAGTAAGCCTGTCTTTCATAGGCTTATGTCCTGGGAGTGCCTTTTCCTCCTGAGTAATGTAGGTCCTGCTTGGCATTTTCTTCCAGAACAGGCCTGTTTCATCACAATTAAACACTTGTTCAGGTTTCAGTCCTTCAGTTTCTATGTACTCCTTGAATTCCTGCACATATTTTTCAGCCGCTTTGTGGTCCGAACTGGCAGCCTCACCATGCCTTATCACACTATGGATGCCACTACGCTTCTTAAATCTCTCAAACCAACCTTTGCTGGCCTTAAATTCACTCACATCATCACTAGTTGCAGGCATTTTTTTAATTAAATCCTCATGCAACTTCCTAGCCTTTTCACATATGATCGCTTGAGAGACGCTATCTCCTGCTAGCTGTTTTTCATTTATCCACACCAATAAGAGTCTCTCAACATCTTCCATCACTTGCGATCTTTGTTTCGAAAACACAGTTAAACCTTTGGCAAGAACAGCTTCCTTGATTGTCTTTTTGGTGCCCACAATAGTAGCGATGGTTGATTGGGGTTTCTTGTACAACTTGACTAGGTCGGCGATACGCACTCCACTTTCATACTTATCAATGATCTCTTTCTTCATTTCAATGGGAATTCTCACCCTTATTGGTGTAGGGTTGGCACTAGAAGCTTTCTTGGGGCCCATGGTCACTTATTTTCCAGAAACAGCACCGAAAACACTGTAATAATACGAAATATTCCGAGTGTATGCTTGGATGTTACCGCGGAGGCTGGCTGGTAAACAATGGCACGGGCGGCACATGTGAGGCTGGCTGAGGGCGCACATTGGACGCGTCTCGGACGAAAATCGGTGAGCGGGTTTTTAATCGGTATGCGCGGCAAAAATTTTGCGATTAAAGTAAGCGGTATGCGAAATAATCGCTATGTGATGCCATCGTTATGCGGGGGTCCACTGTACTCATTTGTTTATTCAGACTTCCTACAATAATTATATTCATCTCACTATAAGCTAAAGACAAGCAATACTTTAAGGTAAGTAATGTGTGTACTGCATTTTTTGGTCTAGCTCTACTGCTCCCTTAATATATATGATAGTGTAAATATGTTATTAGGCTTTTATATGCATTTGAAAGTGAAAAAAGCCGGTATTTTATTTTACAGTGATTTTCGTGTTACAGCAGTAGCCTGGAACCTAACCTGCTATGAAAATGGGGCCGGCCTGTAGTCTAAATTGAACCGAAGAACGTGTGGGGAAAAAATAGGGTTACATTCACTATCCCCCCCCCCCCCAAAAAAAAAAAAAAAAAATTCTTTCAAGCTTTGTAATTCATGGACTTGAATAATAGTTTTTATTCATTACAGTATAGTTGTCATTGCATGTTGGTATAGAAATGTTTAGGGAGGGTTGATGTGACCCTGTACAATACCTATACAAACATGAAAGGCAGTTCCACAACTTACCTTTCACAACTATTACTTGCCTCTACCACATCCACAGTTATCTGGTAACATCAGCAAAAATACCATACATTAGCTGCCATAAGCCAAGATTTTTTAATAAATGAATAGGCCCAGAGTAATTCCCACTATAATACGAGTGCAAAGTTTTTTTTTTTATTGTTATTAACACATCGGCCATTTTCCACAAGGCAGGGAGACCCGAAAATGAAGAATCATCATCAATCATCAGTCATCATCCATCATTATTTCTTCCTGGCACTTCATTTAAAAAGACCAACATGTCTCCACCCCTCCTTCAGAGCACAGGCATTGTACTTCCCATCTCCAGGACTGAAGTCCAGCTAACCAGTTTCCTTGAATCCTTTCATAAATGTTACCTTCCTCACACTCCAACAGCACATCAAATCATAAAAACCATTTGCCTCCACTCATTTCTATCCAACACGTTCATGCATGCTTGCTGGAATTCTATGCTTCTCGCACACAAAACCTCTTTTACCCCTTTCCTAGGCCGATCCTCGCCTTGCCTTCCTTCCACTACAGATTTATACTCCCTCCAAGTCATTCTATTTTGTTTTGTCCTCTCTAAATGTCTGAGCCATCTCAACAACCCCTCCTCAGCCCTCTGGATAATATTTTTTAGAAAACCCACACCACAATCTAATCTCCAAGCTATGAATTCACCCCATAATATTCACACCGCACATTGCCCTCAGAAGCATCGCCACTGCCTCCAGCCTTCTCCTTGTTGCAGCTTTCACCACCCATGCTTCACACCCATACAAGAGCATTGGTATAACTATACTCTCATACATTCCCCTATTTGCTTTGAAGGATAACATTCTCCCCACAGACTCCTCAGTGCCCCACTCGCCTTTTCCTCCTAGTCAGTTCTGCGGTTCACCTTGTCTTACATAGGCCCACCTGTTGACAAGTTCACTCCCAAATCTGTAAACATATTCACTTCCTCCCTCCCTAAAATCTGATAGACAGTATTTCATTACATAAATTTTTTGCTGTCCTCATCACTTTGTTTAATTTCCTTCTTCTACTAACGATCCCAAATTCATCCACCATACTCTGCAGCTTGTCTTCAGAATGTCCCAAAAGCACAATGTCATCAGCAAACAGTAACTGACAACTCCCACTTTGTGCTAGATTCTTGATCTTTTAACCTCACACTGCTTCCCAACACCTGAGCATTCACTTCTCTTACAGCTCCATCTGTAAATATATTTAATTCACAACCATGGTGACATCATACTTTCCTAAGTCCTACTTTTACTGGGAAATAATCTTCCTCTCTCCTACATACCCTAACCTGAGCCTCAGTGTCCTTGTATAAACTAACTGGTTTCAGTAACCTACCACCTATTCCATACATTTGCCACCATACATTCCATTCTTGGCCACCAGGCCACCGTGCCCTGTGGCCTGTTGGCAGAGCTCTTGCTTCACACGGTGAGGGTCCGGGTTCGATTCCCGACAAAGGGGTGGAAACATTGAGTGTGGTTCCTTATACTGGTTGTCTGTGTTCACCCATCAGTAATAATGGGTACCTGGGTGTTAGTCGACTGGTGTGGATCGCATCCCGGGACAAAATTGACCTAATTTTCCCGAAATGCTCTGCATAACAAACGGCTTTCTATATAGTATGTCATTGATGTCAGCTAGGTGTATGTACCTTTTCCAAATCGATAAATGCATCACAAACCTAATCTAAAAATATGAACAAATGAACAAAATCATGAAAAACCCTCAGGTTATTACCATGCTCTGTTCTTACTGTTAGGTTTAAGGGTTGCTGTGGGCCAGTGGTCTTTGTCCCTGTCACTGCCATTGTTATTGTTCGGTTTAAGGGTTGTGATGGACCCAGGGGGCTCTGCATCCATCTCACTGCTATGAAATTGACTACCAGAATGCAGATATACATAAATATATTCTGGCAGCCCTCTCTTGTTGCACTTGAACATTTTGTTGGAATGTTGTCTGCCTAATGGGGCAATTTTAAGCCAGCCCGTAATGCTATGCATAGTATAAGTGGCTTTGGCATGCTGCTCTTATCTGTATTTTTTTGTACCTCTGTATGTGTGCTCAAATTGGTAATAAATAAATAAATAAATAAATAAATGATGAATGAATGGTTTTGGTGTAGATATTGGATGATTGCCACTGTGGTTGTTGTGGCCAAAGCACTCTGTCTGGTCTGTCATTTTGTGGTATTACTTTGTGGAATTGATTTATGACAGTGCCAGTTGCTCCAGACACTTTCCTCCAAAGACATCCAGCTGTATTAAAACATAATGTGTGGTTTATTGCATTTTATTGAGAAGTGTCATCCACCAGGCACTTTTATCAGTTTGAGAATTAATAGTCCCTGATGGACAAAATGCCTTCTCAGTAAAATTCTGTATACTGCATGCTGTCTTATTTACATACTTCTCAGTATATTCTGTCACTGTTACACTTCAGCCATGTTAGTCTCACCACCATTAAAGCACATATTTGTCCTTGTCTTAAGCAAACAAATTCCCACATATTGCAGTAGTTGTAGTTCAAACCACCACCCATTAATTCTTCTGCAGCCTCTTGTCATCTTCCAGCAATTCATCTGCCTTTGTCTTGCAACTCTTGCCATTTCCACATTTTTAATTTACTATTGAATGGTTATAACTATGACCATAATTTTTAAAGTGGTGAACCAGTAAGCCAGCGGAAGACCTTGGTCAGACGACCAAAAGCTCCAATGGCGGGTCATCTGACTAAGACCTGCGTCAGGAAATGCTTGTCCTGTTCCCTGACAAGCCTTACCTAACCTTCAATTTACTGGATACCTAATAGAGGGAAAATCTTGAAAAATCATACAGCATGGACCATAATTCTAGCATTTAGTTTTTGACACTATCTGATAGCATGTTAATTAATATGTGTAAGAAAGTTTGCAGTTTTTGACTTGTAGGGTAATCCAGAAATTTGTGATGGTAGTGTCTGAACTTTATGGTCCTATTTGTGTGGTTGCAATTGAAGTTTCATAACTCTGGTACAGCTCCAAGATTGTGGAGGTCATACGAGATGTTAAATCAAAACCTGTACATTTTTGTTTTGCCAATGCAACATTTCAGCAGAAATATCTAGCATGTTACTCAGTTATTTTTAAATACTGTTCTATATATTCTTTATGAAAGGATTTCTGATTATTTTTTGCATTTTTTTCTGATTGCACTATTTGATTTTTAGGTAAAAGCAAGGAGGCAGAAGTAAAACGCATCAACAAAGAGCTTGCAAACATTCGATCCAAGTTCAAAGGTGATAAAACACTGGATGGTTACCAGAAGAAAAAGTATGTATGTAAGCTGCTGTTCATCTTCCTCCTTGGCCATGACATTGACTTTGGTCACATGGAAGCAGTTAATCTTCTGTCTTCCAACAAATACACAGAGAAACAGATTGTAAGTTTTAATTTATGAAAAAAATTCTCCAGATTTATCTTGGCTATATTATTCTTCCTCAGTGCTTGTACAAATGATCATTGTTTTCACAGACCATGAGAGTCAAGTTTCATACTTGATAACCTAGCCAAGTAGCCAGTAGTTTTACCATTTTTTGTTTGAAGAGCTTGTTCAGTTATTTGCACTTCCAATTTGTCACAAATGTTTTATTACGATTTTATGTATACAGTACAGTGAAACCTCAGCTTACGAGTACCCCACCATACGAGTTTTTCAGGATACGAGCAGTCGCTCAGTTGAATTTTTGTTTCTGGATACGAGCAAAAACTCAGGATGCAAGCTTTCCCCTCAAGGGAGGTTCCTTGATGCTGGTGAGGGATTCTTGATCTAGGGAATTGTATCTGTGCTCCAGTTCCCTAAATTAAGCCTGGATATGTATATACTTCTAAACTGTTGTATTCTGGGCACCTCTGCAAAAACAGTGATTATGTGAGTGTGAGGTGAAAGTGTTGAATGATGATGAAAGTATTTTCTTTTTGGGGATTTTCTTTCTCTTTGGGTCACCCTGCCTCGGTGGGAGACGGCCGACTTGCTGAAAAAAAAAAGTAATATAATAATAATAATAATAATAATAATAATAATAATAATATAATAAATAATGTAATTAATATAACGCGAGAGGCTTGGACTTCCAGCAAGCGTACACGAGCATGTTAGATAGGAGTGAATGAAGACGAATGATTTTTGGGATCTGAAGAGCTGTTGGAGTGTGAGCAGGGTAATGTTTAGTGAAGGGATTCGGGGATACCGGTTATTTTTATATAGCTGGACTTGAGTTCTGGAAATGGGAAGTATGATGCCTGTGCTTTAAAGGAGGGGTTTCTGATATTGGCAGTTTGGTGGGATGTGTAATAGGACAGTATATATATATAATTGTGGCTCTGATATTGTAATTATTTCAGGTCACTTTTTATACTGTATCTTTATATATGCTTCTAAACTGTTGTATCTGGGTTCCTCTGCAAAAACAGTGATTATGTATGAGTGAGGTGAAAGTGTTGAATGATGAAAGTATTTTCGTTTTGGGATTTTTTCTTTTGGGTCACCTTGCCTAGGTGGGAGACTGCCGATTTGTTGAAAAAAAAATATATAATTATTATAATACGTCCGTATTATAACAAGTGAGCTTCAAAAGGCCATCACTAGATGGCAGTGAATACCACAACAGTGCAGGAGCAGGAATGGCTGCCTCCATTTGTCACATAATGACATTTTCTTTCTTTCAACGTACCAGCCGTATCCCACCGAGGCGGGGTGGCCCAAAAGAAAAAACTAAAGTTTCTCCTTTTAAATTTAGTAATATATACAGGAGAAAGGGTTACTAGCCCCTTGCTCCCGGCATTTTAGTCGCCTCTTACAACAAGCATGGCTTACAAAGGAAGAATTCTGTTCCACTTCCCCATGGAGATAAGAGGAAATAAACAAGAACAAGAATTAGAAAGAAAATAGAAGAAAACCCAGAGGGGGTGTGTATATATATGCTTGTACACGTATGTGCATTGTGACCTAAGTGTAAGTAGAAGTAGCAAGACATACCTGTAATCTTGCATATTTATGAGACAGACAAAAGACACCAGCAATCCTACCATCATGTAAAACAATTACAGGCTTTCGTTTTACACTCGCTTGGCAGGACGGTAGTACCTCCCTGGGCGGTTGCTGTCTACCAACCTACTACCTACAACATAATGATATACATGTATTTTATTCATTCTATAGTATATATCAGGTTTCTGTATTTATCTTCTTTATTATGTCATATTAGATGAGTTGTGACAGATAAATAAGCCATAGAGTCGGTATTAGTGTTATATTGAAAGTATTTTGTCCTGCCTCTTGAGAGCAGGAATTCCACTGAAATGGATTAATGGCATTTCAGTTAATTTTAATGAGGAAAATTGGCTCGGCATATGAGCAGATTGGGATACGAGCTACTTCACGGAACAGATTAAACTTGCAAGCTGCAGTTCCACTGTACTACAGTATGTTTGAATACTTAGTTAAATAGGTAATAAATAATCAGTATTTCTAACCTTCATTGAGAAATTAGCAATTAGTATAACCAAAATGTTAACGTGCATATTTAGGAGCCATTACTGATTTTAATTTTTTTTTTTTTATTTTAAGACTAATAAATTAATGGTTGTATACAACAGTAATATATTAATACTTTGATTCCCCAGGGTTATTTATTCATCTCGGTGCTGGTGAACACAAACAGTGATCTCATAAAGCTGATTGTCCAAAGCATAAAAAATGACCTTGGCTCTCGAAATCCAGTACACGTTAATCTGGCACTTCAGTGCATTGCAAACATTGGCTCGAAGGAGATGGCGGATGCGTTTGGTTCAGACATTCCAAAGTTACTGGTATCTGGGTAAGATGATCCCACTTCTGTCATGTGTTATTAATGAATGCAACATGAATATGCTATTATGTTAGTGCAGTTTTGCAATGCTATATAGTAGATGTACTGTAAGGTAATTAGTTTTGGTTTGCAAAGTTTCTCGAATTGACTAATTATATTTGTATGGAGACCATAGTAAGGTAAAACAATGGAAGGAACCTATATATGTATACGGTAGCTATGTTTTTCAGCAGAGGAAGGTAGGTAGTTTCTGAAATCTGGTTAGTTACATATTAGTAGCTATAGGGACATAGCTGTCCTGATAGTTTAATTTTCATTAATATGTACTTATTTTAACCTTTTTTTTTTTTTATTAGTCTTCCACCACTATTTGAAAAGAACAGTTTCCCAGTAATCATTAGTTTCCAGTTTTTCTTAATTTACACCTGTGGCCTCTTGTTATTCTTATTGAAGGTACTAAAAAAAATTGTTCTTTCATATCTATTTTTATAACCTTTATCATGGTTTTTTAGTCTTTTTTTTGGTCTATCATCACCATTTGTACTTTTTAGCTCTGGGATCCATTTTTTAGCTTCTTATTTTTTTATATGATCCACATATATTGTGGACACTTCTTGCAGTTGCATATTCCCATTTTGGTCTAATATATATATTGTAAGGTACTTTTGTAGCATCTCTCCATTTACAGTATTTGAACCTATTTTGTTATTAATCTGTGTTGCATATGCATTTCTCATAATTTTATTTATATGATCTGGTGAAAATTTATTAATTCCTAGATTCCTTGCCTTTGTGTAGTCTAATTTCACTTTCTCCCATTTCCATTAGTATTACTTACATTTTCTTCTAGTAAATTTTGTCCATTTCCCACCAAGGCAAGGTGACTCAAAGAAGAAAATACATTTACCATCATTCATTCAATTTCTGTCTTGCCAGACATATGCTGCCATCACAGTTCAGATTACCCTCCAACTGCAGTATCTCCCACCCCCTCCTTGAGAGTGTAGACACTGCTCTTCCCACCTCCAGGACTTATGTCCAGTTATCAGGTTTTCCCAGAATCCCTGCATAAGTTCCCTTACTCGCACTCCAACAGCACATTAATGAAAAAACCACTTGTCTCCATTCACTTCTATCTAAATTGCTCACACTATCCTGCTGGATGCTCAAGACCCTGAAGTGTAAAGCTTCTCTTATGCTCTCCCTCCAACCATTCCTGGTATGACCCTACCCTTCCTACCTTCCACTCCCAGATTCATAAACACTCGTCATCCTATCCCTGTCCATCCTCTCTACATCTCCAAATCTCAACAACCCCTCCTTGGACCTCTGAATTATACCCTTGGTGACTCCACATTGCCTTTTAATTGTTAGGCTCCAAATTCTCTGCATTTCAACTTAGGCATATGTATCTAGCAGGATAGTGCGAGCAATTTAGATATAAGTGAATGGAGACAAGTGGTTTTTTCATTAATGTGCTGTTTGAGTGCGAGTAAGGCAACTTACACACATGACATCTCCACTGCCTTCAGCATCCTCATTGCAGCATTCAAAATCCATGCCTTGCATCTATATAAGTGTTGGTACAACTATGCTCTGATACATTTCCTTGTAACTTCCATTGATAAATTTTCCTTTCCACATGACCTCCCCACGTGTTGTAAGGTTCATCTTGTCTTTCATAACATAAAATTCCATCATCCATCTGTGATTCTATTTGCTCAATTTATTAAGCTCACCTTAAAAAGATTTATAGTTGCACCTCGAGAATATTTGAAAAATAAAGGGCAGTTTGTTAAATCCAGAATTGTATGCTACTGTTAGTCTGCTGGGCGAGTTAATTTCAGATTTAGCGGACAGAGTTCATTACCCCTTGAATTGGCCATCATGTAGATCTATGTTATTGATACCAAAGGTCCCCTGGTATCAATAACATTGAGCACAGTTCCTTGAATAAGCTGTGAGCATTAAATTTTTTCTAGATATGGCAGAATGGGTCTGTGCAGTGAGTGCTTAGTATAAAAAAAACCCTACCCTACGTGATGCATGATTGGAAAAGCAAAACTCTGGCCTTGTGTTTGGTTTAAAAATAGTGACTTTGAGGTCCTTTTTTTTTTTTTAGGATGGTTTTTATTGGTTGTTTCTTGGTATCATTTGATAGAATAAAGATATACTAATGAAATAGAGGTATTTGGATGGTTTCATAAGTGGAAGTAGCTTGAAATCAGTTTCAGAGTAGTGGAAATATTTTTGCTGATATTCCTCTGGTCTGTTTTACAGGTTTTTAATAGGTCTGAGTCAATTATTGATGTGCCATAAACCAAGACCAATCATTCCTGGTTATATTGTATTTTTAGAGAAGTTGGGTAAATCTTAGATTTTTTTTTTCTGTGAGAAATTTAAAATGTAAGGCAAGTGTAATATGAGAGACCTGGGAATGTGGTAATGAACAGAGAAAATGTTTGTTTTTAAATTGAAATTTTTTTAATTTTATGTAAAATAAGGTAGTTCTGACAGTTAAAGGGGCAGTTTCTTGTACTCAGTTGATAGACCAGAAGGCATATTAGTGACATAGCTAAGAATTGGGTCAAGTGGTACATTACAGTTGGCTTAAAATAGGACTCAAACTTGGTTAAATTGCCAGTGTGTAAATTGCACCCAGTCTGATTAATTTGCACCTGTGTAATTCCATACGTTTTCCATCAAATTTTGGTGTCATTACCTTTAGAAATTCATTACAGTAGGGCCCCACTTATACGGCGGGTTAGGTTCCAGGCTGTCACCGGATAGCAGACATCACCGGAAGGCAGAACGCCATTTTTTTTCCATTTATAAATGCATGTAAATGCCAGACAACAAGTTTACACTAATTTATATTAAGTTAGTAATAGAACTAAGCATTAAAAACACACAAAGTAAAATACATTCACAGTACATTCATTACTTAAAGTATTTGTAGTCTTAATGTAGGAGGAGAGGGGTGAGTAGTACTTACATGTAGGAAGTCAGGTGCAGGTAGCCCAGGTGTAGGTAGCCCTGGCTCCCCGTCTCATACTTAATATACGATATTTAAAATATCCCAGAGAGGTAAAATACACATACAGTACGCTCGTTATTTACCTTAAAATATGTGTAGTCTTAATATAGGAAGAGAGTCGAGTAGTATTTATTTGTAGGAAGTCGGTGTAGGTAGCCGGTAGGTGTAGCCCGCCTGGGCTACACCTACCAGCTACCTACACTGTGGCCCAGAGCCATATTATTGGCATCGACATACCTTGTTCACTGAATTTAATCATTTCTAACAACTACCTTTAGATGCCATCATAAATAAATAAATAAAATAATAAATAAAATAAATAAATAAAAGCATTAGTCAGAGGGCAGAAGAGGGGTTGTTGAGGTGGTTTGGTCATTTAGAGAGAATGGATCAAAGTAGAATGACATGGAAAGCATATAAATCTATAGGGGAAGGAAAGAGGGGTAGGGGTCGTCCTCGAAAGGGTTGGAAAGAGGGGGTAAAGGAGGTTTTGTGGGTGAGGGGCTTGGACTTCCAGCAAGCATGCATGAGCGTGTTAGATAGGAGTGAATGGAGACAAATGATACTTGGGACCTGACGATCTGTTGGAGTGTGAGCAGGGTAATATTTAGTGAAGGGATTCAGGGAAACCGGTTATTTTCATATAGTCAGACTTGAGTCCTGGAAATGGGAAGTACAATGCCTGCACTTTAAAGGAGGGGTTTGGGATATTGGCAGTTTGGAGGGATATGTTGTGTATCTCTATACGTATATGCTTCTAAACTGTTGTATTCTGAGCACCTCTGCAAAAGCAGTGATAATGTGTGTGTGTGGTGAAAGTGTTGAATGATGATGAAAGTATTTTCTTTTTGGGGATTTTCTTTCTTTTTTTTGGATCACCCTGCCTCGGTGGGAGACGACCGACTTGTTGAAAAAAAAAAAAAAAAAAAACGAAGGGAGAAGTAATGAATAATTCATGCCGAAAATTGTAAACAATCTGGGCCAAACGCAGATTCATGTACGTTTTCTCTGATGGCTGAGCAGAGAAAACGTAATGTTGTCCCTCCGGCCGGCTACCACACAGGTCCACAAGTATTATTATCAGAGCACATAAAATATGCAATAAATGCCAGACAACAAGTTTACACTAACTTGTATTAAGTTAGCAATAGAAATAGGCATTACAAACACACTAAAAGGTAAGATACACACTGAGTACACTTATTACTTACCTTAAAATATTAATATTAATGTGTGAGAGGTGAGTGGCAGGGTGTTTATTGAATAAAATCAGAATGGCATACCATCATCCTTTAACTTGGCACTTAAAGCAAGAGGCCTACGACTTCTCTTTTTATCACAGCTAACCTTAGCCACCATCGTCAATGAGAGCCAACTAGTTAACGAAAGAGTAAATGAGAGAGAGAATGAGATACAGAGTTGAGACAATGTAAGAACACAAACTGAACAGGTAGTGGGCAATCACTTCGTCAGGCGAAATAAATGCGTATTAATGTGTGTCTACTTTTAGTTCATTCACGTACGTTTGTAAGAATTTGTAAAACATTTACCTCTATTTTTTTATTATAATAATTTCCTCACAATACAAATACTCTTACATTGTGTACAAGTTAGTACAGAATAAACAAAGAGCAACACCATTTTTAGAGTAAATGAAGATATTATTATTATAATAAAAAGCATTAAACCCACAAGGGTCGTGAATTGCTATATATAGAGTAAAGGCATACAAAGAGTATTTTTCTACAGTTATCCCCCAGTTTGACTGGAGAAAACGTAATTCTTCCGACACTACCTACACAGCTGCTTTGTAAACAAATCTCATTTACGTCAATTTTTACTCTGTGAGTGTATGTATTATGTTTATATGCTATGTAACGGGTTTCATATATAATTTTGAGGAAAATATCATAGATGTATTAATGAAAATGCCTATATTAATGTAAAGTAAGACAGTGTGTCCAAGAGTGAT